TCTTTCTGTCCACCGCCCCCCCCCCCACACACACACTCACACAAACACTCACACCAAAGCCCAGAGCCACATGGTCCTCCAAGTTGGGAGGGGCACCCTGAGTCCTGGGCAGTGTCCCTCCCAGTGGTCTGGCCCTTACGCACCCCCTGCCCCCTCTCCTTCCAGGTTGCAAACTGCTCAGCAAAGGGTTCCTACAGATCGGGCCAGGAGGGTGGGGCTGCCGGGAACTGGTTCTTGATTAAATATAAACCCATCTGATAATTAGCCAACAGCTAATATCTTAGCTTCTAAGATAAACACATCAGATTTGGGCTCCATCAGCCGCACCCTGGACTCCTCCCTCACCACCTTGTGGCTCTGGATCAGAAAGGCAGGAAGAGAAAAGCCTCCCAGAGACCAAGGAGGTGGGTTCCTCAAAGGTGCCAGGTAGCGTCCAAGTGGCCTGGACAAAGAGGGCACTGCCACTTAGCACACCTCCTCCCTCCCAGGCTGGCTGCCTGGGGGTGGGGGGAATGGGGGGAAGAGAGGGCTTTCTTTGCGGTCTTGTCACTTCCTACAAGCCTCACCGCAACCCAGATCTTCTTACAGACCGAGAGGCTGAGCAGGTGAGGGGCCCGGGCTGAGTCAGGCAGGGTTTCACACCGTGGGAGTCCCTTCTGCCTATCCTCTAGCCAGTCTCAGGAAGCGAGGAGGGGGCGTCCAAAACACCAGAGACTCCTGGGGCCAAATCTCATCTGGACTGGACCAGCTTTGCTCTATAAACTCAGAGCAGTTGCAGCCTTAGTTTTGCAGAGAGAGAGAGAGAGAGAGAGGCAGAACTACCTGCTCAGCAGAGGCCAACTAACCAATTTTGAGGTCGGGCTGAATTCTCCTCTTTCAAAGCCCACACACAGGGCCAGGCAGGCACTGCAAAGGACGTGCGAGTCCCCTCGAGGCCCTGGGCACTGAGATGCTGACTTTTTAACTGGCTCCCAAAGGACAAGGGGAAACTCTGGAGCCCACTGCAATGCCCACCACAGAGCCACCCTAATGCCAACAGGCAGAAAGGAACGGGTGACTCAGGCAACCCAGGCCAGCTACCGCTTTCCTCCGGTGACTCACAGAGCCCCGTCCAGGCCCTTTCCCCAGTTTTAAACGTCGTTTGGAAATCACGCCCAGCAGTCCGGGAGGCCGAGGGCAGCTAGGAGTCAATATCTCTCCGAGGGAGCTGGGGCGGGTAGCCCAGCCTGGCTCTCCTGGCCCCCTCATTCAGGCCGCTCAGCACTCCGAGTCCTCGGAAAAGCCCTCTGTTTCCAGGAGCTGGGGATGGCAGGAGCTGAATGTCCCTCCCCACCCCCAGCTTCTCTTGTTCAGGCTCTTTCCCAGGAAGGCCAAGAGCCCGCTCCTCCCCCTGGCAGCAGGCTCTCAGGACAGGAAGGACCCTTCGTTTTAGAGGTGGGGACCCAGAGACCCAGAGAGAGGACAGATTGCCCAAGGTCGCCCAGTAATTCCAAAGTAGGACCTAAGGTGTATCTTACCTTCAACCCAGCCAGTTTCCTGATCTGGAATGTTGTCTGAGGACGGTCAAGGCAAACATCTAAATATCTAACGTTGTCAGACAGACCTTGTTCTGACCTTGGCAAAGCACTCCATTCCTTTGAGCATCGGTTTCTCGTAAAAATGGAGATAACCATGCCTACCTCACAGTACCCCCGGAGGCATTCTTATCAGTGTTAAATGATCGCAGAGCACCCTTTAGAACGAAGTTACAGGCCTGCATATTTCGTATTCATTCATACAGACATTTCCTGAGGACTCACTGCAGGCAGGTGGCTCACTGGAAGGCGCAGAGCAGAGTTTCGGCCTCGGTGTGTGTGGGTGGAAGTGGTGCGTCCATGTGTGTGGGCGGGAGGGTGGGTGGAACAACTCAGAATCTGGTGAAGCATATCATTCCCTCACCAAACATAACTTCTTTAAGACGTCTTAGATAGCTCTATAGTTTCCAAAGCCCTTTCAGAGCGTGGGTACTTAACCATCCATAAGACACCCGAGCCGCAAAGCGCTCTGGAGGCCATTGGGTTCGAATCCCGTTTTACAGATGGGAGAAGTCAACCCAGAGAGGGAGAGGGACTCAGCCTCATGGAACTCCCCAGTCCCCATGCCATGGCCCAAACAGTCTCCTGGGTGCTTGGTAGCTCTCACTGGTCACTTGAGGGTCTCAGACCCCTGGGCTCCCTCCCCAGCCCCACTTCTATGCAATCAAGGAGAGACTTCCCAAGGAAACCAGAAATATCTCTAAGCTAAAGTTCACTGGTAGGTGGGGGGACAATTCCCCAGAACCAACTGGGTCTGGACAGCCCCCCCTAGGAGTGTGTGTGTGTGTGGGGGGTCAGACTGCCTACACAAGGCCACCTTTAATGGGCTCGGGAGGGAGTGGCAGGAAGGCGGCTCAGGGGAATGCTCCCAGCTGGACAGGAAGAACAGGTTTAGGAGAGCAAGTCCCAGCCACATGGAGAAGAGGCAGGGTGCTCAGCCCGGTTCACTTCCCAAAACTTGTGGCACCTGGGGGGGCAGGGGGAGGGAGAAACCACCCAGAGGGGAGGGCAGGCCTAAAATTTGGAGAGTGATCCCAGTAGCACTATTGGAGGGGCTCCTGGGCAGATTCTGATGGTCTAGAATCTAGACCCCAGATGCTCTCTGCTACCTTGAAGTGGTACCCATTTTACCCCGTTCAGTTCCCTCGCCTGAGGGGTGGGCACAGCGCAGTCCCCACGGGCTCTCTGTGGAGCGCTCTCCATACACCCAGCCTGGCAGCGGGAAAGCACCGAGCGGATCACCACTGCTCTTAGCGAACCCTGCTCCCCCGGCCCGCTTTCTGCACCTTCCACACAAGGGCTGACTGGTCACACCCCACTGGGATGAGGTCTGGCTTTTCTGGCCACAACCCTGGCAGGAAAGGGGTGTGGGGTCAACAGGGGAAGCCCTCTGACCCGGTGACAGGCGGAAGGTCTGTGGCATCAGCCAGGAAGCGGAGCCCTGGGGTCAGGACGAAGCAGAAGAACACCTCTGTCAGGAAGCAGCGGCTCAAGCCTGACTTCTCCCTGAGCTGACAGGTCACCCCTCGCAGGGCTGACAGCCCTCCCCAAACCACATCCTTCGGAGACACGGGTGTCTGCTCCTCACTCGAGGACTTGCAGGCTCAGCAGCCCCTGAGCTGAGACTGGCAGGTGATCGCCCAGGCACCGGCCTCACAACCTCCAGGATCTTTCCTCTCCTGTTGCCCAGACCACCAGACCCAACGTGGCATTGCTTCAGCTGCTGGACTGCAACACAGCCTTCAGGGCCCGTAAGGACCTCTGCTCCAGGGAGCAGCAGGCTTGGGATGCAGTCCAGGCCCAGCCACTAACTTTCTGGCAAGGTTGCCCTTAGGTTGGGGGCGTTATCAGCTTCCACCTCAGCATTCCTTGAGGCTTGTCAACTGGAGATCTTGAGACTCTAAATTAGTCTCCAGTTACCCGAGGATGGGACACAGCAGCAGCCACTCAGAGTAGCGTCAGACTATGAGTGAAGGTGAGCACTGGGAGGTTCTGCTCAGCCCCTAATTAGCTGTGTGACCCTGGCCTCTCTAGCCTCGAGGCCAACGAACGTGTGCAGGGTCACACAGCTAATTAAGAACAGCAAACAGGGTTGTCAGAATTAAGGTCGTTGCCATTAGAACAGCCATTAGACTGGCGATTAGGAAGGACGCTGCAGGCACACCTGCAGCTCTAAACTGTGCTGGAGGGCTATTGCTCGGGGTCTTCTTCATTCCTCACCCGAAGCCTGCCTGGCAGGAACGCCTCTCCCCTAAAGACGGGAGGTATGGAAGTCCATGCAGGAACTGGCAGCAGGGACTCGTGGTTTTAGGACAGGAAGGGGGCACAAAGCCCAGGCCCTTGGAAGGCAGTGGAAGGCTGATCACTTCTTCCAGCGACTCATTTGCCCTCAACTCCCCAGAGATTACCCCCCTTCCCTCGCCCCCAGCTGGCTGCTGGGCTGGAGCTTCAGGTGGCCCTGGGCTCTGTAAACGAGGACGGGACCAGTGGGCTTCTCCCTGCCCACAAAGGCCCCCTCTCCCCAACTCCCTTCTCCTCACTCTCACTCAGGGTGGGTGCTTCGATTTCCCAGTCTGCATTGAGCAAAACTAAACACTCTTTTTGCATAAAGCCCAGGGGATAAAGCCCAGGGGACGAGGAGGGCTTGGGGGGGGGGGGGGCGCGGAGAAGTGCTGAGCCCCAACCATCCCTGCCGTCCCCCTTGAAAGATCAGTCTCAACTTTGTAAAGACCGACCCTGAAGAAGCACTGTCACCTCCTGCCCGACTGACTCCCCCAAGCCCTCGGTGCGGATGGGGACACTGAGCCTCAGCGGGGGCACGGCCTTGACCCCAGTCACACGCCAGGGGCAGCTCCGCGGCCCGAAGTGAGGCCAGGGCTCCGTCCTCCACTCCCCGGGGAGTGTGTGCAACCGGGCGCCGCGGAACCCCAACTCCCCCCTCCGCCCGGGGATCGTAGCGCCCCCCCCCCCCCCCCCCCCGGTCCCCAGGCATCCCGGGTTCTGGAGCTGCCCGCTCCCGGCGCCCGCCGAGGGGGCGAGGAGGAGGAGGGCTCGGCCTCCGGGCTTGTCCCGGGACCTCCAGGGAAGGCGCGGGGAGGGGGGTCCTGGAAGGAGGGCGGGGAGGGGGGAAGGTGACACGGGCTTAGTCACGTCCGAGCTGGGAGCCTGCCTGCAGCGGGGCGGAGGCCTAGGGTAGGCGGGAAGAGCAACAGGGTTGGTGCGCACGGCGAGCGGAGGAGCCCCCCCTTTCCACCGGAGCCTCCCCGGGGCCTCGGTCGGTCGGGGCCAAGTTTCCAGCAAAGTTTCCCCGGCCCTCGGCATCATCTCCTTGGGGATGGCGCAGCCTTCCCGATCCGCCCCGGATCCCGGGCTCCCGGGAACAAAGGGGACCCCGGCCCGCCCCCTCGGGGATCCCCGAGCTCCTACCGACTCGGCGGCGGCGGCGCGGGCGCCCGCGAGGAGCAGCAGCAGCGCGAGCAGGCGGGCGGGGGCCATGGCGTCGCGGGCGGAGAGGCGCGCGGGCGAGTGGCCGCGGTGCGCAGCCGGCCCTCCTTATAGGCGGCGGCCGGCCCGCCCCGCACCCCGCCCCCGGCCGCACCCCGCCCCGCCCCGCCCCCAGGAATTCCCCGGGAAAGCTGGGCCTCCGGGGCGCCGCGCTCCGCGGACATGGAAACCCCAAGGGACCCACCATGTGCGCGTCAGCCGGGTCCCCACCGACCCGAGCCACGGCCCTCCGGGAGCCCCAGCCCCGTGGATTGCCTCGATCCCCTGCCAGACAGGCCCCCGAAGGTCATTGCGTCTGACCCTCTCATTTTACAGGGGGAAGGGGGGGGGGGGACACTGAGGCCCGAGGACAGGCAGGAATTGCCCAGGGGCGTCCTTTTGGACCAGCACTCTGCAAACCGGGTACGCCCCCCTCGGAGGGGACGGGAGACATCCCAAACCATCGCAAACGGGGCGCGAACACCGGCAGTGAAAGGGTCGGGAAACTTCAGGGGAGAGCTAAGTATTTCAGTCTTTGCCGGCCACAGGGCCTCTTGTCACCATCAGTTAAACTCCGGAGTTGTAGCTCAAAGAGCCAATAAATACTGCAAAGAATGAATGTGGCCGTGTCCTACTGAAACAGTAGTTATGGCCACTGAAATAAGAATTTTATAAAGCTTTTACCTGTCGTTAAATAGCATTCTTCTTTTGATTCTGCCCCCAACACTCCCCCTCCCCCCCACACACACCCCCCAATCATTTAAAAATGTAAAAACCATTCTTAGCAGTGAGCTGAACAAAAATAAGCCACACCATGGGCAGACTTCTGGGTCTTAGGGTGGCTGAGCTCGGTTTTAAGGGATTTGTTTTTCCCAGATTTGGAACTTCCTAAGAAATTGGATCTCTCTGAGAACTGGTCTGCAAGTTTATCTCCATTCTGATATAGTCAAAGTACCAACGGTGCCTAGACTCCTTAGCTCTTCTGTATTTTATATAGTATACAGATATATACACACATATCAATATATAATATGTCTTTAAGAAAACATGTGTATCTATCTTTCTAAGGCTGAAGCCTGGATATTTTGGCCTGTGTTGGCATACTATGAATTCACACACTTTGTGAAGAGTTGGGAGTGACTTCCCCCTCTTCCGTCCCATCTCTTAATGATCAAAGGATTGGAATCTTTTGAGGCAGACAGCCTTGGCAATAAGGCAAGCTTCAAATGCTGCTCAGGTGTTTTCCCCACGGATTTAAAGGTAAGCAATTTTTTTCAGCTTGGGTTTGGAAATAAACTGAGAAAACGAACGAATTTCCGGTCAGAATAAGAAATCCTTTTGCAAGTCAGATGAGTTTTGCATTCTTTGCTGCCCACAGAATTGAAGGTGGTTTTAATCTAGTTGTCAGTAGATATATCATTAAAAATAAGTTTTGATGATGGATCACTATGCGATTTCCGTTATCTATCATCACATTGCTATGACAAAACCCCTTTCATTCCCAACAGCTTCTATAAGTGAAAAGGGTTTCTCAGTACTTAGAGCCAGGGGTGCACTGGTAAATATTTAACAAAAAGTGGGGTATGGGAGAGACAAAGGGGATAGTCAGGAAGTGCTAACTTGTACCACTTGCCAATTTCTGGGTGTAAATACTCCCACCATGGCTGATTTCAAGTTTCCAACGTGATGTCACTGAATTTGGAGTTGGTTAAGGATGAGCAGTATTTCTACCCCACAAATACAATAGGTGCAAATAATATCAAGAGCATAAATAACAATAAAATGTAGACAAATAATTAGGCAGTGATAAGTTTTGGGTACTTGTTTTCTTTGTTTCTTATATAGTTTGTTTAATTGTAAGTTTATATAATTTAAATTTTAGTAATGATTATGGTTAACTACCATCCAAAAAAATTCCCAAAACTTGAACCAGTACAAACTGGTTTCAGCATACCACTGCTCAACAGCTGTAAACATTAGGAATGAAAATATTGCAAAAATGATCTCATTCTAGCACAAACAATATTCACCCAGGAATATGTGAACTAACTGGGGAGGAAAACACCCAATTCTACCTTTTCAGTTTAATAATTACTTAGCAAAGTTTGGAGACTGGTTTCATAAGCATATACATATGTCAAATTGTACACTTTAAATATGTGTGGTTTATTTTATGTCAGTAGTATCTCAACAAAGGTGTTAAAAAGTTTTGGTGGGGCATTAAGAAATTGTAATGTATTTACATTATTTTGATCAATTGCATTCTTATCCTAATGTATAAAAACCCAGGTCCTTAACCACCAAAGGCTGGACTGACCGGAAGTCAGTGCTGCAGTCAGTGCTGGGTTGCCGCTGTGGGTGCAGTGACCCATCACTGACTGCCAAGGGGGCTGCAGATCAGGCCCGGAGAGAGGCCTGGACAGAGAAACAGCCTTCATAGCAGCTGCTGATCAGCCCTTGCCTCTCTCTTTCTCTCTGGGCCTCTGTGGAGGCTGCCGATCAGCCCCACCTCTCTGGTCAGACATGGAGATAGGTCCAGAGACTCTGTCTAGCATAGAAACTGACTAATCAGAACCTAATCTGGGTGAACTGTGAAGACAGAACCTAAGGTAGGGGCTGAGGAGAGGTTTTAAGGGCAACAGCTATTTGGTGTAAGGTATAAGAAAGCGGTTCTATTTTTTAACGACTGGTTTGGCAGTATAGTTAGTGCATATGGCTGGCTATCAGTCCAGATATAGGGATTATGTATTTTTGTCTGCCAAGAGCTTCTCTTCCTACTGAAAAAGGCTTTTCCCCCCATTTAAGAAGTCCTATCCTATATAATCTATCTATACTAATAAAAGGGTAATATGCTAATTAAACCAGGTCAACTGGCCATCTTCTGGACATCCAACTTCCCTCTGACAAAGCCATGGTGGTGGGGGCCGTGGCAGAGAGGGAAGTTGGGGGTGAAATCAGGTTAGCAGGGGAGGGCCATTGGGGGCAAGATCAGGTTGGCAGGGGAGAGCAGTTGGGGACAAGATCAAGCTGGCAGGGGAGGGCAGTTAGGGGCGATCAGGCAGGCAGGCATGTGAGTGGTTAGGAGCCAGCGGTCCTGGATTTGAGAGGGATGTCTGACTGCTGGTTTAGGTTTGATCACACAAGTATTGGGCCTAAACCGACAGTCAGACATCCCCCAAGGGGTCCCTGATTGGAGAGAGTGCAGGCTGAGCTGAAGGAAACAGCCCCTCCCACACCTGTGCATGAATTTTGTGCACCAGGCCACTAGTGATAATTATAATGATAGAAAAATTTAATATCTAGTCTTATGATCATAGGAAGTAAAATAATGATCCAATATTAACGTATATTTTTAGACAGGGGAATATGACAGAATTATCAATAAGCTATCCAAGCATAAAAATACATATGGTAAAATTTTGTGATGGAACATGGAGTGGACATTGGAGTTCGAGTAGAAAAGGGAATGATGTAGAGAAAAGCCTGTTTATGTACTTTTTTTTTTTAAATAAAGCTTTTAATACAGTGGGAAGTAAAATGCTGTACACTGTAAGAGATCCAGAAAACTAGAGCTTCACCTCTTTTTAAAAAAAAAGTCATTAAGCTTCACTGAACCACAAAGTCTAGAGTACAAAACTACACTGAGGGCAAAGGTCAGGCCTTGGCATCTACCTCCCAAGCCCTTCATGCAGAGCAGCAGCCTACTCAGCAGATACCACACTGACCTGCTGAGTGGACACAAGCAGTGTGTCCATCCTAGAGGGGGGCTGGTGGGCTACATCCGAGTCCTGTTGTCCCTTGGGTATTCTCCAACTGGAACAGGACACATCAGACCAAGAACTGGGAAACAAACAAACCATACAAAATCAAAAAAGATCAAGAATCCACTGGCAAGAAGGATTAAGTTGGAACATTCCCCGCCCCCACTTGATGTAGCCACAGCCTTCAACTTCTGGGTTTTGGTTCTTCGTGGGAGCTGTGCTGGGTTCTTGTAAGTTTACTGTTCAACACTGTCCCCAGTAGGGCCTTGCAGCTTGGTCTAATGGTGATGACTTCTGTAGGCCTCTCGTGTCCTGCGGTCTCTTATTTCGCTGTATGCTGCAGGTGAGCCATTTAGCTGACCTTCTCATACCATCCCTGCTGACTTACCTACCCCTCCTGGTCGTCTCACAGGCCAGCTGCTTGAAATATCCTGGAAAACCAGTATGTTCATTTCCCTAAGGGACGCGTAAATCCCTGTTTCCCATGCCTTCTTAAAGCTTCTTGAACTTCTCTCTATCTCCTAACCAAACCAGTATGAAATGTGTTATGTCAGATTTATGCTTGACAGCCTGCAGGGAAAAGGGCTTAGAAAGTGGTGTCATCCACAATCTGGCCACACCCTGGGGAAGACGTGACTTGTTTTCATCGAGTTTCTGAATCTCTCTCATAACTTCAGTGTTCCTGAGCACATGCTGAGAGCCAGCTGGATGAAAGACAGTGCTGCCAGGGTGGGTGTAGGCCCCAAGGACGTGTAACACAGCTCAGCTCCCGCTTCTCTTGGGTCCATTCTAGCACCTTCTGTTCATCAGTGAGGTCAAGGGGTTCACGTTGTTTTCCCTGATCTGCTGCGTACAGTCCCAGAAGATGGTTGAAATGTGTGGTCAGTACAAGGGCTCCACTTTTCATTGGGTGAAGCAGCTGTTTTCGAGTCTCCCATCTTTGAGTCCACGTCATTGAATACTGCATGTAAACAGTCCTTGAAATGTGTGGGTCAGTCATTACTAGCCCGAGGAGAGAGTTCCTGAATAAGCTCATGGGCAACATGAGTAAGATCCTTATCCTCGTGGAGACATTTCTGAAATGTTTGCTCTCCTCATCGTCTACAAGGTCAAAATCAGTGACAGCATCCAGAAAGGCCTGAATTAACTCCTTCCAGGATTTCAGGGCTGGAACCTAAGGTGCAGCCACAGCACTCATGCCTGTTCCAATCACCAGCACAAGTTCCCAAGGCTTCTGACGTTTTAAGCTTG